AAAGGTTCAGGAAGAGCTGCCCGACGTTGTGCTGGGCATTCAAGTGGCACCTGGGCGTGCAGGTCGGGAGGGGTACAGCTGGTTCCGTCCCAACAGTCGAGGGAGCATGGCCTTGTGCTCACACTGGCTTGTGCCATTGCGAATCCATCCCAGAACTTCTCCCCTAAACCATGGAGACGCTTTAAAATTCATTTTCATTACGTCAGTAATGTGTGTGTGTGTGTTGTAAATTGTACCATTAAAGTTAATGAAAAGTGTGTCCCTCTCGGTCCCAGGACCCTCATCTCTTCCCGGAAGAAATCCCCACTGTGGGCCTGGGGTGAATCCTGTAGATCTTTGAGAAGTCACGCTACATGTGCCCTCACACTGGTCACAGCGTTTGTTCCGCCAAGCCTCAGGAGCCGGCTCGGCACTCCAGGCTGTGTGGCAGAGAATCGGAGTCAGGATAAGGAAACGCCTGCCCTCCCTGACTTCAGGAGTGGGATTCCTGAAACCCCAGGGAATTCCTGAAATCTCGAAGTGGGTGGGATGCGTGCTGCTTTGGGCGATGGACGGTCACAGCTGCACACACCGCCCGGGGGCCCTGCCCTGCGCAGGTGTCCCGGGTCCCGCCGACGACATTCTCCAACTTCAGGGCTAGGCACAGAGGCGGGAAGTGGGCGGCCACGCGGGGTGGAGTGGAGGAGGCAGTCCTCGGGTCAGTCGGAGTAATCCTCTGTGCTTATTTGCACTGTATCAGATTTCAGAATCTCCTGGTCTATTTTTTTAAACTTCATTATTCATTTCTTTCACGAGTGAGAGAGAGAGACCACACCTCTGATGGATCTCCATGCTACACCAGCCCCGCGTCGAGTGCGTGTGTGTGTGCCTGGCAAACTCAGGGAGGTCTCCAGGGCCACCTCAGCGCCCTCCCACGTGGACTGACCCTGCAGTTTGACCATGCACCATCGCCAGGCCCCTCTCCTGGTCTGCTTGGACTTCTCAGGTCCTGTAACTTAGATGGGACTGCTGCTATTATTTCTGCTCCCCCGCCCAGAGAGGCTGCACAGCCCACCCTAGGTCACACAGCAGCATGGGGCAGGGGTGGAATTGAACCCAGGTCAACCTGGCACCAACCCAGGACTTTTTCTTCATGTCCAGCCCCTGCGGAGCCTCCACCCATACCCTCTCCAGAAGCACAACGGGCAGAAGCAGCCCCTGAGAAGGAGAACCAAGTGGACCCGGGGGCCGTGGAGACAGGGGCCCCAGCCCCACCCCGGCAGAAGTCCTGGCTGTTCCGGCATTTCTCGCTGCTGCTGCGGCGGGACCAGCAGGCCCAGAAGGCCGGCCAGCTCTTCTCGGGGCTCCTGGCCCTCAATGTGGTGTTCCTGGGCGGTGCCTTCATCTGCAGCATGATCTTCAACAACGTGGCCGTCACGCTGGGGGACGTGTGGATCCTGCTGGCCGTGCTGAAGGCCCTGTCCCTGCTCTGGCTGCTCTATTACGCAGCCGGGACCACCCGCCGGCCACACTCCGTGCTCTATCGGGACCCCCACGCGGGACCCATCTGGGTGAGGGGTGAGCGTGGGGGTGCTAGGTGGGCAGATGGGGTGGGAGGGAGAGCCGGCTCTGGGGCAGGTGCCGACACCCCCTGGTCCTGCAGGTTCCCTGGTGCTGTTTGGCAGCTGCACCATCTGCCTCAACATCTTCCGTGTGGGCTACGACGTGAGCCACATCCACTGCAGGTCGCAGCTCGAGCTCGTGTTCCCTGTCATCGAGATGGTCTTCATGGGCGTCCAGGTGACAGTCCTCTCCCGTCACCATTCTCCCAGGGAGCGACATACCCTGCCTCGCCACCTGCATGCACACACACCCCTACCTTTACTCCCGAACAGCCTCACAGGTGCATACCTACAGGGTCCTGCACGAGGGCCCACCTCCGCGCGCTCACACCTGTCTACCCCGGTACAGCCACATCCACGCGCACACGCCCAGCCCGGACACGCAGACCCTATAAATGCGCCCGCCTGTACCCACTCGCGTACACACACTGCCCAGACCTCGGCCTCCTCCTGGACACAGCAACACGTGACGCCTGTTCTGGCTGTGCACCAGGCACGGGGGGCTTCCTGTACATCGGCTGCTTTATTTCCCAGCAAGGAGGCATTTCCCTGAGTGGTGGGCAGCCTGGCCCCGTTTCAGAGCTCAGGCCGCTAAAGCTGAGCTGCCCAAGGAAGCAGGGAGCCAAGATTCCAACCCGCTTCCTCAGCGTGTCTTCCTCTGCAGCCTGGGGCACACCCGCCACAGACTGCCTCCCCAGCCTAGCCCCTGGCTCAGGGCCTGTCTCTTTCAGACCTGGGTGCTCTGGAAACACTGTAAGGACTGCGTTCAGGTCCAGACCAACTTCACGAGGTAAGACTGCTCTCCCTGCAGAACCTCCTGGGCACTCTCTGTTCCCCAGGTGGCTTCCCTGCACAGGGCGGCCCTGGGGCTGTGGGTTAGACTAGAGGACACCCCAGCCCCTGGGCCTCCCTTTCCTGAAGTCCTAGTCCAGACGGGATCTGGCTTTGAGAGTGAGGGGTGAGGGTCACCCCCGTGGAAGTTGTCGTGGTGCACCCGGGGGCGGCCAGGCTGAGCAGAGAGCGGCGCTTCCTCCAGGTGTGGCCTGATGCTGACCCTGGCCACGAACCTGCTGCTGTGGGTCCTGGCCGTCACCAATGACTCCATGCACCGAGAGATGGAGGCCGAGCTCAACGCCCTGATGGAGAAGTTCTCAGGTACAGAGAGGAGACAGGGCCTCTTCTCTCCACACCCACACACACGCCTGCACACACTCACTCCACTCCCTCAGAGAGAAAGGCCCGGTGAGGCTCTCGAGTCGGGAGCAAACTCTAGAGGCCAGATCATGACTCAACAGCAAAGCCAGCCCAGTTTCCCAGCGGTCCCCAACCTGCCCCATCGGGCGCCACCCACAGCACCTCTCCACGCACCCATCTGGCTGTCAGCGGCTGACCACTGACCCTGGCTGAGCCAGTCCCTGATAAGGCATTGAGGTATGCACCCCACCCTCCGGTGTGTATTTCATTTGCAAGGGGCTGAAAGCCTTCAGGGCCGAAAGGAATGTCTTTCTGATGCAATTCGAGGCACCTAGACATATGAGAAGGGACAGATGATTTCTGGGCAGAAAAAAACTCTGCATTGTCCCAAACACCCAGTCCCAGGCCTATGCCGTCCGCCCCTTCCAGCTACATCCCATAAACCCACCTGGGAAGATGGCTGTCTGTGGGATTCAGCCACACCCATGTGTGTTCGGCCCCCACCCGGCCCCCAGGGGCCATCACTATCATGACCTGCCCCACACACTCATGCATTTACACACCCCATGCATAAGTCACGGCGCGCCTGTGTGCGCCACGCTCACTTCACTCGGCTTAACCTCTCAGAAAAGCTGTGCAAAGACAGATTTTGGCAAGCGACGACATGGCTTTTATTTTAGAATTATTTATTTAATTTTATTTATGATTATTATTTGTTCATTTGTTATAGAGCACATGCGCTCAACACAGAGAGAGAGAGCGAGGGAAAGCGAGAAAGCAAGCCACCAAGTCCGGGACTTGAACCGCAGTCGATCACATGGGAGTCCAGCACCTAAACCACCACACCGCCTGCCAGTCTCCATCATGGACTTTTTGATTGTGGTTAAAAATATTCAAACTGGGGGCCAGCAGGTAGCATGGAGGTTAAGGCAGCTGGATCTCACATGACCGACTGCATGATTTGAATTCCGGACCCAGCAGCTTGAAAATCACACCAGGCACATGTGTGTGCATGCCCAGAATCCCGAAAGGAGAATGAAGAAGGGATGGCAGCAGGGCCATCCCTCTGGGGACAGGGGGAAGAGGTAATGTCTTACTCTCTGTCTCTCTCCAGCAAGCACATGTACCCTATGGCAAAAGCTAAAAAAAAAAAAAAAAATTTAATTTAAAAATTAAACTGCACCAATAGGAGGTTAAGGTGGCTGGGTCTCACAAGGCTGACTGCTCTGTTCAAATCCTGAACCCAGAGGCTTGAAAATCATGCTGGGCCTGTGTGTGTGTTCAAGCCCCAAATCCTGAGAATGAAGGAGAAGGAATTTTGGTGCCGCCATCCCCTCTGGAGAGGGCGAATTCTTACTTTACCTCTCTCTGGTGTGTGCACGCACCCCTACAGCAAAACTAAAAAAAAAAAGAAAGTTTGAACTAGTAGATGTAAATATGCCCATTACCCAGATGTGATCATTATTAACATTTTGCTATATTTATTTTAATTTTTTACTGAAGTATGTAAATTCCAGAAACGGTGGGATTTCATCTCAAAACATTTCAGTTTGCATCTCTTTAAAAGTAACTAAGAGAACTCATGTTACTGTAACTGTTAACAACGCCTGACCATCACCCCGATTCTCTGCATCGATCTAATTTTATTTTCTCTGGTTCACCCATGGAATGTCTCTATGCACGGTTTGTCCAAATATGCAGTTCATCTGGTTAAGTCCCTTTAGTCTTTTTTTTTTTTTTTTTGCTACAGGGCATGCGTGCTCACCAGAGAGACAGAGAGAGAGAGACAGAGAGACAGAAAGCGATAAATCACTCCCCAGAGGGGATGGCCATGCCGCAATCCCTTCTCCTCCATTCTCCTCTCGGGATCTTGGGCACACACACACACGCGCCTGGCATGAGTTGAAACTACCGGGTCTGGGACTCGAACCGTGGTCAACTACATGGGAGTCCAGCGACATAGCCATTATGCCAACTGCTGGTCCCAAGTCCCTTTAGTCTTTTTTCCTAATGAAATAATTTGTCAGGTGACTTCCTAGTTGTGGCATTTTTCTTTTCTGTTTTATTTTTCAAAATAAAATTTCTTCCATGAGAGAAAGAGTGAGACTCAGGCTGGCATCTCCAGCAGAGTCCCCACACCTCGGTCCACCCCTAGCCTCAGCCAGCCTGGGTCACGGGCCCAGCGTGCACAGGGGTCCTGGGATGAGAACCCAGGGCCTTCCACTGTGTGTGCAGTGGACTTTGGCTTTTGCTCCTCTCCTCTGCTTTTCCTAGAGGTGAAAGTGTAAGCCAAAGCCTTATTCAGAACCGTTTAGCTGTTCTGGGCACCAGCGTTTCCAAGGTGACCCTGTGCGCTTTGATGGGCACCTGGTCCTGAGGCACCGATATGTGGTTTTTTTTGTTTTGTCCCTTTTTTTTTTTTTTTTTTTTTTTTTTTTTGCTACAGGGCATGCGTGCTCACCAGAGAGACAGAGAGAGAGAGACAGAGAGACAGAAAGCGATAAATCACTCCCCAGAGGGGATGGCCATGCCGCAATCCCTTCTCCTCCATTCTCCTCTCGGGATCTTGGGCACACACACACACGCGCCTGGCATGAGTTGAAACTACCGGGTCTGGGACTCGAACCGTGGTCAACTACATGGGAGTCCAGCGACATAGCCATTATGCCAACTGCTGGTCCCAAGTCCCTTTAGTCTTTTTTCCTAATGAAATAATTTGTCAGGTGACTTCCTAGTTGTGGCATTTTTCTTTTCTGTTTTATTTTTCAAAATAAAATTTCTTCCATGAGAGAAAGAGTGAGACTCAGGCTGGCATCTCCAGCAGAGTCCCCACACCTCGGTCCACCCCTAGCCTCAGCCAGCCTGGGTCACGGGCCCAGCGTGCACAGGGGTCCTGGGATGAGAACCCAGGGCCTTCCACTGTGTGTGCAGTGGACTTTGGCTTTTGCTCCTCTCCTCTGCTTTTCCTAGAGGTGAAAGTGTAAGCCAAAGCCTTATTCAGAACCGTTTAGCTGTTCTGGGCACCAGCGTTTCCAAGGTGACCCTGTGCGCTTTGATGGGCACCTGGTCCTGAGGCACCGATATCCAACTACCCCACAGTGCCTACCGCTGAAGTTGGCCACTGGTCAGGGCAGGAACCAGAAGCCCCACCATAAAGTTCCAGGTGTGCCCACGTGCCCAGCAGGTGACTTGTGGAGGTGACATTTGGCTCCAGAGACATCACGGAAGCTTGGCACTTGACATCATGGATGTCTTTGTAAAATAGTCATTCTAGGACCAGCAGATGGCAAAATGGCTATGTCGCTGGACTCCCATGTAATCAACTGCGGTTCTAGTCCCAGACTCGGTGGCTTAAAACTCAAGCTGAGCGGGTGTGCATGCACAGCCAAAGTCCCGAGAGGAGAACGGAGGAGAAGGGATTGCTGTATGGCCATCCCTCCTGGTGGGTGATTTCTGGCTTTCTGTCTCTCTGTCTCTTTCTGTCTCTATAAGTGAACACAGGCGCCCTAGAGCAAAAATCTCTCAAAAAGAAAAAAAAAGGAAAAAGAATTTTAAAAAAGAATGGCCATTCTGTGATTTCTGATTCCTATGCCTGGGCTCCCTGGACCTGTTTCCGTACTGGTAACTGAGCAGCTGACTGGGTCCCTGAATGCGTGTTGGTGCCACCCCGCCCCTCCCAGGCAACGGGACCAACACCTGCCTGTGCCTCAACGCCACGATGTGCGAGGTCTTCCGGAAGGGCTACCTGATGCTCTACCCCTTCAGCACCGAGTACTGCCTCATCTGCTGCGCCGTGCTCTTCGTCATGTGGAAGAACGTGGGCCGCCGCCTGGGACCCCACGCGGGCGCCCACCCCAGCGCCCGGCCATTCCACCTGCACGGGGCCATCTTCGGGCCGCTGCTGGGCCTGCTGGTGGTGGTGGCAGGCGTGTGCGTCTTCGTGCTCTTCCAGATCCAGGCGAGCGGCCCCGCCATCGAGCGCCAGTACTTCACCCTCTACTACGCCTTCTACGCGGCCGTGCTGCCCGCCATGAGCCTGGCGTGCTTGACAGGCACGGCCATCCACGGGCTGGAGGAGCGCGAGCTGGACACGCTCAAGAACCCCACCCGCAGCCTGGACGTGGTGCTGCTGATGGGCGCTGCGCTCGGCCAGATGGGCATCTCCTACTTCTCCATCGTGGCCATCGTGGCCACGCATGCGCACGAGCCCCCCACCCGCCTCATCCTGGCCTACTCGCTGCTGCTCATCGCGCAGCACATCGTCCAGAACCTCTTCATCATCGAGGGCCTGCACCGGCGCCCGCTCTGGGAGGCGGCTCCCGAGGGGCTGGTGGGGAAGCCCGAGGCTGAGCCTCCCCGCCGGGAATCCCTGCTGGAGCTGGGCCAGGGCCTGCGGCGGGCCTCCCTGGCCTACATCCACTTCTACAGCCACCTCAACCGGGAGCGGCGGGGGG